ACCACTCTCGGTTCCACTTTTACTTTTGCGCGCTACCTGTCTCACTCTTTTCCGGCCTCCAGCTTTTCCTGCTGGAACCCGCCGCTTAAAGGTGGGGGTCCGCGGACCGGCCATAGAGCCCATAGAGTTAAAGGTGTTGGCCGTTAGCTGTAAAAATCCATAGATTAGCCGCACCGTTATATAAACCGCAGCGTCGAAAAATTGGGAAAAAGGCGCGGCTTATAGTCCGAAAATTACGGTACTTCTTTTCATATATGAAGACAAAGACAAGTGACATCTCATGTGTAAACTGAGTTCATTCAACATATTTGTAGTGACAGAACAATAGATGCCAATCGTTACTTAAAAACAGGCTAAATGGAAGTCACATGTTATCTTAAAATGTTAAATAGTATGTTGAATATCAGGGTTCAAGGTTCAAGGCTTTTACAGTCATTAGTACATAGCTACAGTTCAGTTATGACAATGGCATTCTTAGGTCACAGGCTCCTCCAACAGTGCAACACAATAAAACAGATAATTTGTGCAAGTACATCAAATAAAATAGAATATAATAGAAATAGTGCAGTGCAAAATGTCAGTTAATGGACACTTAGCGAAATTATATCAATTCAAAGACTTGTTTCCTGTGAATGTTCGAACCAGGTTGAGAAGTGCTAGGAGAAAATATAGGAAAGTGGGGCCATACATAAATTTAATCAACTTCCTTTATGTCTTTTACCTCGAAAATGTTTTTTGACGAAATGTTTGATGCAGAGTTTTTGGTGTAGTTTTCAAGAAGTTTATACGAAAGAAAAGATGATAATTTACAAAAAAAACAAAGGGAACAACCTGGTAAATCAAAATTACATTATTTCATACCAATATATGTCAGCACACACAGCCCACAAGGTCGTCTCCACCCCGAAAACAACGCCCGGTAGATACCAGGTTATCACCGTCAAAATCACAAGTTAAGTCGAGGAACGGGTTTGGGACTTTAATGGTAAACTGTGTCAATTCTTTGTGGTAACACCGTTATTGAAAAAGAAAAGAAACAACTTCCAAAACCCACCCGATGGTCATACGACTAGTGGTAGCCTTTTGAGGGACCTCCCTGTACCTCCAACAGTATGTTTCCGATGTCTTGGACGAGATGTTCGTTGGATGACATTGAATTTACAATAGACAAAGACTCAGGGATTTTAAACCTAATCCAAAAGAGGAGTTTGTCCGCAGGTACGGTCCCAAAAACCCGGGTGGACTGCTAGACTGGATAAAACCCCCTCCTGCAGAGGGTGGGTCCTTTTGCAGAAGACACGAGTCGACGTCGCGCAAGTCTAGTTTCTTCGTACTTGCTCGCTCCCGGACGTGTCCGACCGTGCCGCCTCTTTGACGATCGCTGGTGGCTTCCAAGGGGAAGGAGACGTCCTCTTCATTCGCCCGAGTAAACAGGAACAAATGTCAGCACCATACATATACACACCTCGCAACAAAACTTGCCAAGGATACAAGGGTAGGTCCCGTGCCAACGCACATATCATTTTCTGTTGCACCACTTGCTCCCTATGATGAAGTGGGATTCCCCGTGCTTGGGCACAAGAACTCGACGTCACAGTACTGCCTCTCGGCGTCTCTACACACACCGCCGCCGACACACTCGCAGCGTCCCGACCGGTCGTCGAAGGCGTTCTGGGGTTTCTCACGGACGTTCAAGTGGACGGACCTGCGGTCATGACTGACTCTTGTCCAGACACAGTCCGACGACGTACCCGTCGAACTCTGTATTCGTACCTCCAATTGTGTTCCTCCGAGGAGTTGTCTATATGTCGAAACCTCCCAAAAACCGTGACAATAGCTGGTCTCTATAACACATATNAGAGTGTTTGGAAGTGAAAACTGGATCCCTTCTATTCAAATGTACTTCCCAGAGTCTATTATATACACATGTCACTTGAGGCAGAGCTTAAATTTCCAATCCCACAATGCCGAGCGCCAGCAGCACCATAGACGCCAGGCTTAGAGTGGGTGTGATGGTTGGTGCTTCACCTGAGGAAGAAGAAACAACATGAGACAGATGGACCAAGAGGACATAATGTATTATATATATATTTACATTTTCTAGCCTTACCCTTGATACTAATCATCCTGACTGGGCCATCCCCTCCTTCATAACGTCCGCATACCAACAGCTCAAAGTCTCCCATCTGAGGCATGGGGAAGTCCATGAAGTGCCAGCCAGTCATATAGACTTTCCCATAGATGTAGCCTGTCTTTCTGAACATAACCTTGAAAAGAAAAAGTATTGGATCTTCAACTTTTCCATGTAGACTCTGGAGTTTAAGTGGGGACATTTTTCATCTGATTTTCGATTTTTAAGGGGGGTTAGTGTCTGTATTTTGGCTACAACGTTTATTAAAGACTTGTTTAAGTTGCTTAAATTAGACTTCAAAAACAAATAACAAACAATACACCTTTGCTTAAAATGTATGTCATATGTATTAGCACAATCAAAAATGTGAGTTTTCTTGTTTCCATAGAGGCTACCATCATCACAGAACCACCTGAGGACACTGAGGTGAAGGTTGGTGATGAGGTGATCCTGAGGTGTGGCGCTTCATTCGACCCCATGCTGGACGTCACATTCATCTGGACCATCGACTACAGGATCATCGACTTTCACTCTGAGTGGGATCACTACGAACGCGTTTTGGTAGGTAGCCTCATTATTTTAACATCTTACACTCACAAACCGTGTCTTGACACCCTCAGCTAATGACATATATATTGTCTCTTGCACTCCCTCTTTCCTTTCCCCTCTCATCTCCATGTTTTTTTGCTTCCTGGTGTTCAGAGTGAAGATGGCAGTGGTGATCTGAGAATAAAGAATGTCCAGATTTGGCACGAAGGTCGCTACGCCTGCACCACTCAGTCAGTGGTGGACAGCGACTCTGCATACGCTGACCTCAAGATTGTTGGTACGTCCCAGCACGCTCTGTCTAAAAGGATCATAGACAGGGGTGCACACAACTTTCTCAGTGAGGTACTCAGATGAGTACCTGGAGTCAGTGTTTGGTACTCCAACTTCCGGCTCCCCTCAAAGTTCCCATGAAGCCCTCTGT